AACCTCCATTTCCTTTACTTTATCGCTCAATCTCCCTCGTGAATGCAACCCAATTCGTTGTTTGTTTTGATCGATGTATCATCGTCAGCCTCATGGTTTTAAAGTGCATATTCTACGTAGGGATCTGAGAGGGTATTGAAATGGAGAGGGAGATTTTATAATTAAGAATAGAGGAGGAGAAAAGAAAAAAAGGAGGGGGCCAAGTGAGTAGCAAAAATGAGAGGGGGTGGGCCGTTTTGGGTGCATACATGTCATTCACTTCTCCCAAAACACCCGTGCTCTGTCACAAACCAATACCCCTCGGCCCTGTCTCTCTCTATTTCTCTCCCACAATAAATACCCCCTCAAAATCCCCCCACAACCCGCTCTCCACTTTCCACAATCCCCTGTTCTCTCACAACAACAAACAAATGGGCATTACCAAAATGCCACAGACGGCGGTGCTGAAGCAGATGATCAAGCGCTGCTCCAGCATGGGGAGAAAGCAGCACCAGCACTACGACGACTTAGCGGGGCTCCCTTTGGACGTCCCCAAAGGACACTTCGTGGTGTACGTGGGTGAAAATCGAAGCAGATACATCGTCCCCATCACATTTCTGAATCATCCTCAGTTTCAAATCTTGCTCCAACAAGCCGCTGACGAATTTGGGTTCGATCATGACATGGGCCTCACCATTCCCTGCGACGAACACTCCTTTCAGTCCCTAACTTCCACGCTTAGATGAACTATTACTCTCTTATTATTATTATTATTATTATTATTATATATATAATAGGCTTAGTTTCCTTTTTGTTCTGGCCAAAATGATGAAGCTGCACCACTGCTTCTCTGCCATATAACCTCTTCTTGTTTCTTATTTTTAACAGTTGATGGAGAATTTGAATGCCAGAAAATGTGGGATGAGTTTGAAATTAATTGTAATTAGTTTTGGGGAAATGAAGTTGTAATTGCTTTTCTTTCTCTGTTTTAAACCACAAATTTAGTGGCTGATTTTAAGGGTTTTGTCTGCCTTTTCCTTTAATTTCCAATTTCCTCGACGTTTGTGATTATCTCGATTAACTCAACCGTTTTTGCCGTTAAAACTGTTGTACAAACAACAAAGGAATCCAATCCCTTACCCCTCGCCAAACGCCATGGAATGTTCTGTCACCGCCCGACGCTTTCCTTTCCCTAATTATATTTTATATATATAACCAAAAAAAATGATCATTAAAGTAATAATAACGATTATTCAACTCTATATCTTTATTCCTTTATTCAATATCCCAAAGTATCTATATCTTTATTTCTTTATTCAATACCCCAAAGTAACTGATTAAGAATAATATGGTAAGATTTATCTTTATTTCTTTATTCAATACCCCAAAGTAACTGGTTAAGAATAATATGGTAAGATTTTATATTTAAAGTGGATAATATCGCATAGAAGGCGATTTGTAAATAAGCAAAGATGAGGGGTTAAATTTGAAAGAGGGGACAACTTTGGAAGTGCAGACTGAGGAGTCCGCAGAGGAAAAAAAATCCTCCGGATTCCAGGAAGCCATGTGAGTGGGGGCCACAAGCCACGAGCCAAAGTAAAAACAAAATAAAATAAGAGAGGATCGGACGGTTAGGAATGGAGATGGGGGAGGAAGTAAGATGTGGGGCGCGTGGGATACACGGAGGAATGGAGTCGGAAATAGCAGGCGTAGGGACATGGGCCTTCTTCACCGGTTAAACATGGAATGACTTTTAGGGTACTTCTACAAAACTTGCCCTTTTTTTCTTTATTTATTTATTGTCCTTACAAATTACCGTTCCAAAAATTATTTACCAATTACGCACCATTCTTACCGTTTATACATTCACGTTTAAAGCTCAGATTTAATTTACCCTATTTTTAGAATATTGAGGATTATTTTTTTAACTAACTAATTAACTATCTCTGTGTATGTATTCATTTATATAATTGAAAATTTAGGTTTTCATTTACACCGACAATTATTATTATTTCTTATAATCCCATATTTTATGTCATTTTCGCATCTTTGCAATAATTATTTTATAAACAATCAATCCCATTGTCTAGAAGGAAAATAATATTTAATTTAATTCAAACAATATAGGAAGAAAAAAGACAGAAATATTAAGATATGGTCCTTGTATGAGACGCAAGATGCAAACTTATATAAACTTTAAAGGAGAGGCGAAGAAAATGTGGTTCAAATTATCACAAAATGAGAATCAAGTTTCATTTTAGTTTTAGATGATTACCAATTTTGGGTGAATGATAATTTAGAATATGGTATATCATTAATGTATTTTAAGACTTTTATTTACTTTAAAATCGTATATTAGGATGATAAAAGTATAGTTTTAAAATGTTTTTAAATTGCGACCAAATTTTAACATAAGACTAAAATGAATACATTTGAGATAGGATAAGATTGTTATATATATATATATATATATATATATATATATATATATATATATATATATATATGTTTTGTTTTTGTTTGATGGTCCTTTCCAATCTTTTTCACTGTTACTTCCACGTTGAACCAAGATTTGATTGTCCTCTTCCTAACATTCTCTCTCCTAAATATGCCAATCTCCCATTTTTCAATTTTCTATTTTCATATATATATATATATATATATGTATAGCAAGCATTCATGTGACAACTAATATATTATATTTTGCATGCCTCAAATTTTTATCACAGAAAAAAGTTCTATATAATTCATAATGAAAATACCTTTCTTTCATTTGAATTTACAACATTACCCTTAATATTTCGTAAATGTTTCAAATCTGTCTTTTCAATAGAAATTATTTCGAGTATGGAATAAAAATTAAAGCATAAGTAAGGTGTGATAATTTTCGGGTTCCAATATTCAGTATCGGTCTCGAATACATCATTACTGTTCTCAATAGTCATTTAATATTCTAATAGATTTCTATCCAGCATAATAAAGAGTGAAGCAAGGCAATTCAAGTTTTAATCCTGAATTAATGCATTTCTTCGAGAAAAATCAAAGGATGGGCAAAAATAATAATAATAATAATAATAATAAATTGATTAAATTTGAGAAAAAGAAGAAGATTTTAGAGACGTGGAAATGAGGGAGTGGTTAAGATTATGAGTATATGAACCTTTAATCATTAATATATAGTTCACTGAACAAACATAGAATATACATTTTCTTTTTATCTATTAAATAAATAAATTTGTTTTAAAAAAAAACATTTGGGATTATCATCAACAACAGACCAACGCTCGTGATTGCATCAAATCAAGTAGCTCCCACGTCACTTTATGGATTTATTAATTAATTTTTTTTAACTTATGGATCTAAATTTAAATTCAACAAAAATATGTTGTCTTCTAATCCAACTTTTAGAAAGAGAGAATATATATACATAAAAATATAAATATTATAACTTTGGGCACATAAAAACAAAACCATATTACTTTGGGGGAAATTCATGGCACTTGTATTGTACTCATATGGGTTGGGTCGGGTTTGAAACATGTCGGAAAGTTGGGTGGGTTGTAGGGGTCTCCCTTGCAGGATTTCAGACCTTATGTTTTTTTTTTTCTTCCCTCAATTTCGTGGTTTAAATTTAAAAATATTGAATAGTTCGCACGTGGGTTCGTGGTAGATTAAGTAATGTGAATGATATTATAGTAAATAAAATCTCTTCGAAAATGGTGGAGGGATCTTGGACTGCATGTTATAATAATAATAATGATAATAAAAGGGCTAAATTGTATTTTACTTAAAAAATTGATGAATATTTTCTTGAATTTAGGGAATAAAAAATAATGATATTTGTTTGGGAAACATTATAATATGAGATTTTGAAGAGGCATTATTAATTAGCTGGGGGGTTTGCTTGATATTTACTGCGCTGTCGCTTCATCCCAAACACAGGATGTAATGAAATAATGCACTTCAAAAAGTGGCCTTTCAATGCTCTTCAACTCATTCGTACACAAAGCAATTAGTAGCGACTCCAAGGATCATGGTTGAAGAAAAAGAAAATAATACATGGGTCGTTCTCTAATAGTCTATTTCATTACCCGATCCATTTCAAACAATTCATAAATGTATGCAAAATTTTGAAACTAATTTGTCTATTATGCATATCCAACCGACATCTTTGTCACATGTTACACCATTTCATATCCATCCATCAATGCTTTGCTTAGCTTGCATTAGTGTGGAATTAACGAGCAATTGATTGTAAAAGGGGAGGAATTTGGTCATAACCTAGTGTGTTTTTGGACAAGACTATCCAATCCAAATGATGAGCTAAACTAGAAGAGAATGAATCGAGTCCAGTCTGATATTAATGTTTTCTTCTTTTATCCCAACAAGTGGGAGTCATTTGAGTTATGTTCAAAGAGTCGGTTGGTTGTAAATGTCATTTATGGATTTAGATGGAGCCACATTTTAGGAACCGGTTGAAACGAGTTCTAATCTAGTCCGTGCATAACTTGTTAAAAATGGGAAGTATTCTTATGGAAGAAAGATAGAAATTTATGTGATAACAATTAATGGAGTGATGTTGCTTCATTTCACCCTTTCTCAATCTCAGCTACGTGATAATAAAGTCAAAGACTTTCAATTAAGAGAGAACTGTATCATACAGTGTACTGTTTTGTACAGCACGGTTGAACTAAGAACCAACAGTTTTAGCTGTCATTGATTGAGTTGAACTGAGTTGCATGTGAACAAATTACCCCACATGGAGCCCCCATTTCAAGTCATCAATACGGCCTATGCTTATCCCTGCAATAACATACCCTTTCCAATCGATCATTCTAAAGTCCAGCCCAAATCCCGCCCAAGAACTGTTGCTGCAACAACAAAGCACAGCCGTTGTTTTACTTCGTCAAGAGGTAAGATGAGTGTGGAGGAAAGCTAAGCTTTCTAGAACATCTTTGCATTATATGTGTTCTCCAGTTCAGAAGGACAAACTCAAGACCGTAAGGGCGAGAAACACAAAATGAAAAGAAGAAAAATTGAACAGATGTGAATATAATGTACAGCATAGGTACAGCAGCCAGGAGAGAGATTTGAAAGCATCATTTATGTGCTAACTTTTATGACATAGAGCTCCCAAAACTGACTCCCATCTAAAGATCTTAGATGTCTATGTTTAGTTTTTTTTTATCTATTTTATATTATTGAATGAAATATTTTAAACAGAATTACATTATCATGCAACACAATTGCATGCCCCTAATGGCTGTTGTTCTTTCCTTTCGCGGAGAAGAATCTACTAAATCCTCGAGTCTGTTTCTCTGGAGTGGGAGCTGAGGAGGAAGAGGAGCTTGACTTGGTTGGCGTGTGTTTCGAATGTTTAAAATTCATAGGCGATCTCAAGGAGCTTCCTCCATCGTCGTCAGAAGCACTACAAGGGGACTCTGCACCGACTACGGGCGTCATTGCAGAAGTGGCGGTATCCATTTCGGACCGATCAATGTCCAGCAGATTAATGCCACTTTTAGATGGTTCGTTCTCGGTAAACTCTTCGCCTCTTTGACTTCTCTCGCTAAAAGGAGATCCACCAAAATCTGGTTGGGGTCGCAGAGAGTTCAACTGCTTGCCAAGAAGAAAAATTGTTTCTTGACATTCTGCCAACTTCTCTGCAGCAGCACTCAACTCCATCTCCTAATGTAACAAAATAATCACCAAGTTCAATATAGAAAGTCCAACAAATTATTGCTACTCTTGAACGATATTTGTAAATTACAATCAAGAATGAACAGGGGAACACAACAAAATATTGCATTAGTGTTTCCAGAAAAGAAGCATGGTGAACAAGTCGCTGCTTTTGTTCACTCTCATTCCTGAAAATGTTATGATGGTAATTCTAGAGCGTTTCTGGGAGTCAAAGCAATTTAAAAATAGGAAAGAGTATTCAACTTCACCTGGCTCTTCTGGGGATGACCATCAATTGCTGAAGAACAAATAGCGCAAACCTCATTCCTGCAACATGAGACAGGAGATGAAAAATGACTTGGAGACAACTAAAATGAAGACAGATAAAGACATATAAAATCAGGCATGAAATGGGAAATTGGATGTTGAAATTTAGGACAGCCCTATAGACGTTTGGCATATACATATTGGCGGCCTTATGCTGTTCATGCAACAGAGAAAAGTAAAAGACTAACCTCTGTAGTTGCTCTTGCAGCTCCTGGCACTTGAACAAAGCTTCGTGATGATTCCTCTTCTCATCCTGAAGATCATTGTCCAAAGCTTCAGATTTAGATCGCAAAAGATTTAATTCAGTTTCCAAATCCTCCGCACGCGCTTCAAGCGACCTGTATGACTCTGCCATACATTTCAGCTGCGTTTCTGACAAGCTGTTTGACTTTTGAGAAAAAACCAACTGTGATCTACATTCTGCTAACAGCTGCTCTGTTTCCTGCAGTTTACGTTTTGTTGCCTCAAGATCCTCTCTAGATCTTGCCAAGTCCTTTGCCAGGTTCTCCTTGGATAATTTTAGCTCTTCAATGTCCTCTGATGAGAGTTTGGGTAATCTGGAATTTGATTCATAGCTGGAGACTAGATTTCCATCACAAGGAACTTCGAGATCGGAAGTTGGACTAGAAATATGAGAACAACCGTTTGTATATCTTTCGTCCAGTAAGTCGTCTTGTACAACCTTGTGCTCTGGTAAAGCTACCTTGTCTATACAATCAGGACTATTGGTATCGCCATCAGTATCCTTGCATCCAATGAAACTAAATCTGAGCTCACTGGTTTCAGATAAAACATGAGAAAGAATAATAACAAAGTCCACCAAACTTGTGTTCCCATGCACCATTTTACTAAAGGTGGCAGAAAATTCCTCAATTTTTTGACCCAGTCCATGCCCATCTGGAGATACTGTATCATGAACTCTGGAAGCTTCTTTCCCAAGGAACAGCACAAATTCATGAATTTGAGAGATGGCAGCTTCCAGCTCTTTGTTCATAGGCTGATTGTGTGCAGCAGGCTGGGATAAAGCAATTTGTCTTTCTACTCCTAAACCGGCATCATCAGGATTGGCTTGCCTATCACATGTCGTATCAGGGCATTGCACTTCAGAAACACATCTCAAATAACTGATAGTGGGTTGCTGAAGTGCATCATGAGCATCTTGCACAATGCATTTGATATCCTCCAAAATTTTTCCAGTGTCTGCATCCTTTGAAATTGACTCAAAAATCATAGATATTCTTGATCTGAGTTTCATCAAAGGCAATCCATCAGAATCAGCACTCTCCGTTGACGGATCAACAGTAGAAGATACAACATCTGTAGATGGACTTGAATCCAGATGCTGTTCCGACTGGATACCATTGGACTCCTGGTGTACAACTTCAGACGCCTTATTGTTTGAATTATCTGAAGCAAGGATGACTTCGTTTGACTCATTTGATTGGCATGCCAATTTCTCCATTTCTAGAAAGTCATCCATGAGCTCCAAGTGACTTCCACTTTCGGTTTTACTTATTTTCTCATTTCTCTTCTCCCTAAATTGGGAAATGTCAGAGATTGCCGCTGTGGATAGAGAATCTGCACAACTCTGTCCATCCTCATTTCCATCTTCAGACATAGAGGTCACGCTGGGAGGATGACTTGTGTTTTGGCATGAAAAGCCATCGGCATTATACTGAACAACAGATTTTGGGGAGCTTCTTTGGTGATTGCTATTTTGGAGTTGTGCCTCCAAGTTTTGAAGTTTACTAGCTGTCTTGGCACACATACTCCTAGAAGTCTGCAATTCACTATTACGCTTTGCCAAAGCCTCTTTAAGCATCTTTGTTTCCTCCTCCATGGCAAACATTCGTTCTGTGAGGAACTCGTTCTCCTTCTGGAATTTCAGTGCATTATCAAGGGAAAAATCTGGCACAGATAACATATGTGGAGTTGGAGGCCTACTAGGTGACTTCCGCACTCGGGTGTCCCCATATTCCCTGCCTAAACTTTCAACCTCTAGCTTCATTTGAGCAAGTGCAGCAGGACCAGGCAATTTCTTCCGCACAAGACCACGTAATCTTTGACACTCTGCTTCTAGTTTTGTTATTTTCTTAACACCCTCCATGTGCTGCTTGTTGGCTGCTTCAGCAGACCTCATACTCATATTCTTTTCTTCATTACGGATTTCTAGCTCCTTGGAAACTATATGTAATTCGTATTTAAGTGAATTTATTTCTCTTTCGCACGATTCAATGTTGCCCTTCAGCAACTCAATCTCGGCCTCAGCTTGTAACTTTTCTTCACTTATTTGAATCAGCATGTTGGAACGTTCTTGTAATGACCTTGAAAGTGCAGCATTTTCAGCAGCAGACCTAAGAAGTTCTTGATCCAAGTCTTCCATTTTTGACTCCAACTCAAGTTTAATTTTGTCCCACTGCTTAGTCTTGGTGAAAATAACTTCTTGCAATGTATGTTCATGTTCTTCTTTCAGATTTCTTATCTGCCTCATGCATTCCTTCAGAGCACCATCCAAATGTGACGCCCGATCTTCAGCAGTGAGCTTGGAAAGTGTCACTGTCTCTAAATGATTTTTCAATGCCAGAGCTTCTGCCTCAGCTTTCTCCCAACCTGTAGTGAAGGCATTGGTTTGTAACGAAGCACACAGAATAAGCAGAAAATTCCAATCACCTTAATTTTACAATAAAAATTTTCTCTCTCAATATATCAACTAAAGATATATAATACCTGAGACAGCTTCTTCAGCAACTTTAGCATGCTGTTTCACTAGGTTGTCCTTAGTAGTCATCTCTGAGTGTGCAGCCGACAGTTTCTCGCTGAGCTCTTTAATCTCATCCTCCAGTGCCTGGATTTGTTCGTCGCGAGTTTTTACTTGATCCTCCAAACCGGTAAGATGAGAGTACGACTCAACAGAGATTTGTACATAACTTGGTTTTTTGCAACCATCCTGAACGAGGAAGGAAAGGAAATACGTTAAGAAAATTGGTTCAAGTTTAGTAAAAGTAAAATACTATTTAAAAATTTAAATCCCATCACCATCATCTAAAAGTACTGTGGGAAACAAAGAGAATTGTTGTAATAACAGTACTACTGAACAGCCACAGTAAGCGGTAAAATTGGGGTGTGGGGGTGGGTTGAGTTTGGAGGGATTAGATTTTACTAATTTTACCTGATCACCCTGACTTCCAGCCGACTCTGAAGCATTAGCCTTCTCTGCTGTCTTCTCAGATGATTTTTTCTTCCAGGGCCAACTTCGTCGGTCCATTCCAGGCTGCATAAAGGTAAATTAACGAGTTATAAAAGGGAAAGAAAAGAATACTCTGAGACTCTAAACCAAGATTCCGTCAAAATTAGTCCCATACTCCAAATGGCATCATCACATAGTGGCTGCTGCCAAAGGAATTACTTGGTTCTGATTTTTCTGAAGTGGTACTTAATACTTTATATGACACATTGTATCGATGGTGTATTCATGCTAAAGAATTTTTTAAGAAAAATACATCATAGATTCCAGATAATCGAGAGCACAAATGAACTAGTTTAAATAAGGGAAGTGGGCACAGATTAAGGGAAGTAACTGCGCAACTTTTTGCAGGTACTGATGATGAAAGTATAAGGTTCCAAAAATGGAAATTCATTTCTTTAAGCCCACATTTTTAGCAACAAAACAGACCACGTCCAAACGCTGTGTAAATGCTATTTATGAGAGACAAACAACACCAGGATAAAAAGTAGCTACACAGAAACACCAGAAGGGGAAGAAGTTTAAAGGATGGCAGTTAGAAACTCCCCCACTCATCTCCCGAAAGCTAAACCATAATTTTACCGGATAAATTTAGTGGAATGATTCAGAAATAAGCTCAATGACTACAAATGATTCAGATAGGCATGCATGTTAACGATGTCTTCACTGTCTGTTTAGTAAATGAACCATCGAGATCTAAGCAGAGAACCATTGCTAGACGAAGATCAATGACTCCAGAAGACAATTGGCGTCTGTTGGAGTTAATTGAGAATTCTTTTATTAAAAAAAAAATAAAAGATAAGACTAAACATAATTTACCAACACAAGAAAGAATCAACAGTGTTCTCAGGCAAAGCGAGATCCAAATGAATTAGAAAATGGTCCAAACTAGTTAAAGACTAATAGTGCTGATTGAAAATATCCAACCAATAAACACGGCGTAAAATGCACTGATACCACACCATAAAAAAGACGGTTATCAGGATTCCAGGTTGAAATCAAAATCCCTCCGCAGTTGAACCAAATTCAATTTGAAGAAAAAGTGGAAGCAATTACCGACAGAAGAAGATATTTCCATCGAAGAAACAATTAAGAATCAGAATCAAATTCGAGAAAGAAGGGGAAAAAAAAGACCGAAATGATAAACATCACGATTGCGAGAACAGAACAGAACATTCATAGTCAAATAACAAACGCTCCTGTCATCCGAATTCGAAACCGGAAACAAACGCGGGCAAAAGCTCGAGAAGAAATCAGTAGGGGGAAAGAAAACACAAAAGAACTGGAAGTCGACTTACTGATAGAAATGCAGCTTGAAAGAAGACGTATGAGATAGAAAAAAAAGGAACACTCGGTTAATAGAAGGAATAGTGAGAGCGTGGAAGTAAAGACAGCGAAGGAGTTGAAATTGCGGCAATGAAGATCCAAAGCGAGAAATCGTTAATCGCAGCAACCGGCTGCGAAGGAAAAGTGACGGTGGCGACGGCGGAAGTGGAGCGGGAGCGGGAGGGGGAGGGTGGGTGGGTGAGAGAGAGAGAGGGAGAGAGGGAGAGAGGGAGAGAGATGAAAATGAAAATATTCGGACTCGGTATGTCCACTAAAAAAGCCAGAACGTTGTAAAAGCTCCAAAAACCTTGTCCTTTTTTTTAATTTATTTTTTAAAACTTATATTGAAATAAAAATGATTTATAGAAGAATTATAAAATTTAATATTGTTAATAAGACAGACGGAAAAAGAATAGAAAAGAGGAAGGAGGGGGGCGGGAGAGATTAGACAAATTTGACCATGGAATAAAGGAATAATGACGGATAAGCCCCTCCCACTTCCCGCGCCTCTTTTGCTGAGGAAGCTACAGCTGAGCTGTATCCGATGGTTAACAAAGTTGGATTTGTTAGTATTTATTTACATTACGCTGCCACTATGGACCACCGTCACTCCCTCCCCTCCCCCTCTCTACAACAACAGCTCATTTCTTTGTTATTTTGCCGTCTTTCGGCTACACTCCTCTACGCCGCTTTCACTCTACACCCACCATCACAGCCGACCATTTTCCCCCGAGTCAAACCCGCTACCCTGCCTGCCCCACCATACCATCAAATTTATGCTCTCTGATCTTGTGTATAATCCTAAACTAGGTTTGATTAACGATTAGTTTTTATATTGATTGACTTGAGGTAATACGTATTAGGCCTCTGTCTTCGAAATTAATGAGAAAATGAAAGTAGGAGCAATTCCTTGAACTATAAAAATTAATGACCCCAAAAATGCTGAAGAGGACCACTCCCCGGGTTAGAAAATAAAATTGTTTTCTTATTTAAGGGGTGGTTGATTGAATAAACACTCTAATCAATCCGTTGAATTGAATGGTCACATCCATTCAGAAAATAAAATAAAATAAAATTACACAGAGAAAGACAGAGTAAAACTGGATTGCGTTGAAAATGGAGAGGAAAGGGTATCCAAGAAGAGTAATTTCTTGTCGTTTTCGGCTGCCAGCTAAAAAATAAAACCCAATTTCTTTTTACTCAATTTGCTCAAACATCCCATTTATTATCAGGGTGGATCAATTCTATCAATTTTTCTAAATTATTCTATACTGGTTGAAACATACAAATACGGTGCCGTTTTCATGGGTTGTTTAATTTTCCCAGAATATTAATAATAATAATGTCAAAACCTGCATGGGACTGTATGTTTAACAGAGTGAAGATTTAAAGGCCTGGGCACTGGAGACACCTCCTGCACCATTTGGACAACATGATTATTCCTTTCCTACCCACTCACTTCATTTATAATGGAAACGGAAGGGCGGTGATAGGGAGGTGCAAAAGCATTATAATGGAAACGGAAGCAGGAGAAGATAACAGAGAGGGCGTAGGTTAATTAAGGTGGAACTCACTGCATGGGAAACGAAAGTGGGGCCCAATGGAGCGTGGATGGGGTCCACACCCCCATCAAACAAACGCCCTCCTCATTCGCATTTGCGTTCTTATTATAGTGGAGCAGCAGCAGAAGCAGCAGCAGCAGCGCATCCGATGACATGAGAAAGTGGACACGGTGGTCCCCACTTACCCACACGTTTCACTTCTCCCACTTTTCCTTTTTTTTTTTTTTTTTTTTTCTCTGTAATTAATATAAAATAAAATAAAAAATAACTGGAGCTTTTACACGTGTCACCGAAAGCGACCACGTTTCGTTTACGTTTAGTGAACCCCGGATGCCTTTGTATTTGCTTTTATTAATCGAAGTTGACAGCGTCGGCACTCCACACTCCAAAACGCACCGCTTTGAGAATTAATGTAGAAAATGAAGTAACCGCATAAAACAAAAAAAATAAAATAAAATAAAAAAAGAATCCTTAAGAAAAGCAAGGATTAAGGGTGTGTTTGGATGCATGTCAAAATCCAATACTATAGTACCCCAAATGAAGCAACAAGCTAACCACCATTACCTCAATAATAGAGAATTAATTAACTTAATTAATACACACATTATCAACAACCTCACCAACCCCAATGTTAATGTCGTATAGATTATAAGAATAAAACAATACACACATTATTTATTCATCTTCTCCTACTTCATTCTATTTCGCTACATTTATTCCATGTTTGTCCCTTTCAACGTAGCTTAGCTTATGTAATTACATAAATAATTATCAACTTCCATTATGTGTAGTTGTTGGGGGAGGTACAATTACAAACATTAATGCCTCCTCTAAACTAGTTACTATACAAATAATACTGACCATACGTATAGCTGTGAAATTACGCAAAAGGCCAACTGAATGATTTCTCTGTGGCAATTCCAAAAGGGTTAAACACGGGATATTAATTATGTATGCTTCCTAAGTGGCTTTTTATCAACACTAATTCACTCCGCCTCCCACCTACTAAAATACTCACCCTTTTATTGCTACCCTACCCAATACTTCCTCGACACGTGTCCTTACTCCTTTAATTTTAATCCAACTTCTATTGCGCCATTAAATTATAAATATGAGACGACTATAGTAAAGAAGAAAGCAAAGAAATTAAATTAATTATTTTGGTAATATGCGATATAAGTTGGGTGCATATACAATATAAAATTTAAAATAAATATATATTATATGATATGGTATGAAAAGGTATATATATATATATTGGATTTATTATTATAGTTTTTATTTATTGTTGATAGCGTTGTTGTGTCCTTTTATATCTCTCTAATGTGACTTCTCATCAAATTTAAATGTCTTAAATATATATATATTTTCCCATCACATCTTTGTTTCTACCTATTTTGTTCAATTCTACACTCAATCGGATGGCCTTTTATTCTTTTTTTTCTTATGGGTTCAATTAATCTAATTAAATATTTGGCGATAAACATGGAAAATATAAAAGGGTTTCTTTTTTAATTAAATAATGATTGGAGAGAATTTGAGTTTAGAAATATAAAGGATATAATATATAATAAGCTTGTGACTTGAGACCAAAGAATGCTTTGTTAATTAAAATATTAAAAAAAAAAATGAGGCAATGAAATTATAGGGTTGGTGGGACCCACGCGTTTACATGAGACAGCTTGAATCCCACAATTCTTTTATTTTTCCCACACAAACAAATCCTGTTTGAATGCAATGTCTAAAATTAAATGGCGATTTTTTTTGTTTTGTTTTGTTTTTATATTATGTCTCATTGGATTCTATTTGTTTTCGTCTGCAAATTTCAACTTCTTTAATTAAAATTCCACTTTTTCATACTTCAACGCCCATCTCATCCCTCTCTACTTTTTTTTTTTTTCTTTTTCCCTTTTCTTTTCACATTATTAACTTTAAAAAAATCGTGTCACAATGATATGATATTGTCTACGGCATTCTTAAAATGTATCATATCAATAGAAATACTGTTATTCACTTATAAAATGAAAATCATTTTCTAAATTAGCTAACGTGGGACTCACTTCCAGTAATCCTAACAGTGGTGTCGGTGTTGCACCGCAATCTCAATGGTGATGTATGAATGGTTGATTTGAAATGTAAAAAAAAGAAAGAGGAAAAGTAGAGTGAAGTGGGCGGGCCATAATTTAAATAGGATTATAAATAGGGGTTTAAATACAACTCATCCATCTGGGGCCTTCTTCTTCTTCTTCTTCTTCTTCTTCTTCCTCTTCTTCTTCCAAGGTTTAGGGATTAGGGTTTTGTTTAATCAAAATGAGGAAAAGAAAATGGGCGATGTTTTGTGGAAAAGCACTGCCTGGTCCACACATAAGTTTTGTTTGCTTCTCCTCCCATAACAACACAAAACCTTCGTCTCTGTCTCTGTGTACAACAAAAAATGGCTTAAGTTTTTCTTTCGCTCATTACACAAACAGAAGCCTGCCATAATTATTACTGTCGTTTCGCTTGTTTTTTTTTTTTGTTTTGTTTTGTTACTCTGTCGTTTTGTTCCCACTGCTTTAGAAGCTGCAGTATTGGGAAAGGAAGGGAAGGAAAGGCCATGCAATCTATTCTCCCTTTTAATATTGAACATTAGATGGGTAGTTCAAAGAGGACAACGAAAACACGTATTTTGAGAGATGAATAAAGGCGATGGGGGAGAGAATTGTGGAGAAAATGAGTGAATTTTGATCTGTTACAGAACATAAATATGGGTGTCTCCAACAACCAGCAGCGTGATTAAGGCTGTCTTATTATTGTCTTTCTCCCAATCATTCATCCATTTCTAAAGCCCACTTTTTTACTTTTTTTTTTTCTTTTTTCTTTTTACCTTTCCAATTCCCTTGATGCCCTACTACCCTAAACGCACCTTTTGCCCACGCTTTGAACTCCGGAATTGCTCTACTTACATTCTCCTTCAAGTTCCCTGCTTTCTAGGGGTCATTTCAATCAAGACACAAACAACAAACCAGTCAATTCTCTATCATTTTTCTTCTTGGAGACATTGAATTCAAAAATAAATAAAAAAATAGGCACAGCCCATGATGGATTAGGGTCTCATCCGTTGTGTGACATATGGGCTTGGGGATTTCCAGTTGGGCTCATACAACAACTGGGGATTTTCCAATGCCACGGCCCATAAGAATAGGGGGCCCTGTTACGAACATTCCTAATAATAATGATTATGCCTCTTCTTTTGTTTTGTTTTGGTATTATTAATTATGTAGAGTACCTTAAATTGCGCTCCTTAGTTGTTACTACCATAATTACTACGCTACGCCCATCTACTAACCAATTACCCGCCATAATTTATATTAATTACCACCATCACACTATATCTTCAATTTTATTCTCAAATTTGG